CTTTATATCCACTAACAAAGATGTGAAGCAGGACACAGAAAAAATCGCCAGAAGTCAAGTCAAAATTCGTTTTTTTTATTTTAAGAATAGTTAAGTACATTATTATAGATGCATGGCAAAGGACCACGCACTTTTCTTATGCAAACGGAAGTACCGTCAAAATGTCTGAATTTTTGATATGTTAGATAACTTGATGTCCCCATCAAAAGTGTCCATGGGTCCAATCGTATCCTATGACTAGATTTTGAGATACAGGGTGTTGAAGTTATAAATCCCTAATTCCTTAAAATAGACACCATAAATCACCCTTAAATATTTTTGGAAGTTTTTTGCTCATTCTGTGTAGTCAAAATACATACTTAACTACTATAATTAAAATATTGTACCTTACAGGGTGAATAATGATTCGGCAAATCTTTTTTGGTTAAAGTAGGTATTCCCACCGAACAAAAATAGCTAATATACCGAAAAAAAAAAAATATATATCACCGTCAAAGTCTCTCAATATTTGATATCGTATAGTACTCCATGTACTCGTTCAAAATTCTTATTGGTAAAATTAGATCCTATGACTAGTTTTCCAAATATAGCTTAATATGTACCAAATATATGAATTTTAAACAATAAATATATACTGACAAAATAGATATTTTCAAGAGAAATATCTTATATTAAATATTTTGATATACTGTTTTAGATTAAGAATATACTCCTTGTACTATTTTCAAAGAGACAAAAAAATCGTACTTACAGGTTGAATATGTAAAAGGAAAAAATGCTGAAATTGTTGGCAAAAAATAGAAAATAATTGACTTTTAACTTGCGAGTTGTTTATTAAAAAAATCTTATCAGTTTACATACAGGGTCATACACTATTGCATTACAAAAAAAGTTCATTATACGGTAGGTATAAGTAAGATCTAAGGAAATGAATAATGATCGGATTAAATGTTTATTTTGACTGGAGCATTGCCTCTTTATATTGTATATTTATATCAGATTGGGATCTCCTTTCCGCGTAAAGTGTTAGCCCCTGTAGGAATAGTGCACTGCTTGTATAATAGGGCAGGTCAAAAATTACCAAAAAAACATTAATTTGGGCTAGTGTGAAAAAATTGTGTTTTAAGTGGTTTACACCCTATATAAAAATTAGTGAAAAAATAAAATATTTAGCTGGGACCTTAGGGGTGAGAAATTAAAAAACTAAAAAAATTCAGCTTTGTGCAGCTCTTCGCTTGATTTAAAACTCAAGGGGTTTAGGGCAGCTCCAAGATAATAAAACCAGTTTTGAATGTTAAATCAACCCAGAATTTACCACTAGGAGGTGGCCGCACTTTGAGTTCCACCCACCCACCCACCCACCCATTTCTCCATTTATCTCAATATATCTTACTTATTTATATAAAGAGATCATTACATTTTTGGCAAGTCTTTTTTGGCATCAAGTTTAGCACGTATGTACGTAGAATTTTCACAACACCCAATTCTCTTTTCTCTTTTTTGGCATTGTTATTAATGTTCTCATAACTTGGAAAAATATAACAATATTAGCAATTACAAAGGACAACTGAATTTATTACAAACACTAAAGATATAAATTCAGATACTGTTATAAATTTTTTCGTATATTTAAAGAACATTCACGATTCTGGGTTCGAGTAGTACAATAATAAACAATGATTACTTTTCTTTTCTATATTTAACACAAATGAGTTAGAGTAGATTATATGTCAAAGATTTTTTTTTTAGGTTAAAACAAACAAAATAGCCCTTTAGATACAGAGCTTTTAGCGGCACTTCTAGAAGATTTGCTTTACAAAGTGAGTGTAAATTACCGGAAAAATTAATGAAATTAAGTGTAAAAGGCAATTGATTATTTTAAATAAATTATATCTTTGAGTTTTAATTTTCAAACTTATGTCTAAGGCTTATCTGTAACTTCCAGGGATCCTCCGTATTTTTCCATTCAATATGTACCCAATTTCCATCACCATTTGACAGTACAGAGTGGATTCAAGGATGGTTCTGCAGCTAAACATCCATACTACAGCAAGAGACAATTTACTTCCAATTATTATCCTATGACTCTTGACATGAGTAGGTTTACTAGGTAGCCAGAGGTAGGTATACCTTGACATGGTTATACTATACCTATTTAAGTTGTAAATGAGCTAGTTAAAAAAAACTAACAATAAAAGGCCTAAAATAATGATTTATTTTATGTAAAATGATGTAAAAATTATTATTTTAACTAATTTTATATCCAAACTATATTGTAAACCTACCTGAGGTGGTATGGGGCCAAATGTGGCTTCCAAAGAAGCGGTAAGATTGATGAATCATTAGTAGACGCATCAGAAAAATAGGGACAAAATCTTTGAAGCAGGGACATACGGACATTAGATATGACTATACTAGTGACTTGTCGGGATGAATAATTAAAAAGTAATTTTATGAACTCATCTGACAATCCATGTCTTAGTTTAATAAGGAAAGCAAGTAAATCTTTTTGAGCAATGCTTCTTAAGTTAGCATATTGTTCTATTGGTTCACAAAATTCATATAATTCTTGAAAATTCTCTTTAGAAATTGAAGTTAAATATTTAAATTCTTCTAAACTAAAAGTATTAATGTCTTCCCAATTTTTTAAATTATTATTAACATTAGCAGCCGCTCTTATACTAGACAAAAATTGCTGAATATTAACGTGGAGGAATGGTCTATAAACAAAACGCAAACCAGCATGTAAATTAATCATTAGTAAACTCAAATGATTTAGATGAATGTTACAAATCTTCAGATATTCGGGTACATAAATATTTGAGACTAAAAAAAGATTTGCTCTGCAAACTGCCGATAGGTTTCTTACATTTACTTGTGCGTTACAAATTATACAACCACGAACTGAGTGGGGTGTTAGAACATTAAGTCTTAGGCAATTTGGATCATTTTCAATATTTCTAAGTTCCTGTGTAATTGCGTGATAACAGTTTAAACATAATCTTACTTCTTGTAGATTATCGACTGCAGGATGTCCGGCAGCTTGTCTTCTAAAATTAGCAATGTTAAGCACATCTATATTATTGTCCTCGTCTAAACGAATAGTGAGTCGAAGCTGAAAGTGTCTATTGCAAACAGCTAATCTTATTTGCAAACGCCATATTTGCAACAATATTTATTTAAAACACTAATACAGAACGGTCTAATGCTCGCTTAAAGTAATACAAACGTCATTTATTATAAAAGTCAACAATATGTTTAATTATTCGGAAAATATTTAATCATAGCCTTCTAGATCAATATATATAAATCAAGTGTAAGCATGTTTATATATCCTATAAGGTTGTTGGCATATTCACCACTATTTAGAATTTACTAATAAAATCTATCAATCGTCTAAAACTCATAGGTTACAAAATATACAGGGTAATCAATTTTTGTGAAAATCTTCGGAAAAATTATGTATTATTATAGTAGATATAAAAAAGCAAAACTTCAGGCATGCAGACAGTCTTTAGCTTTATATTTTATCATTACGAGTATACAGGGTGATTCTTAACACGGTATCAGACCCAAGTCGATTTAAAATGCCTTGGTTGTGTCGATTACAACAAGCTTAACGTCTGAAGTGGAAAATTACGGAGTTACAGGATGTTAAAGATTATCTATATTTCCAAGTTTAAATCATTAAATACTTAACAAAACGACTTGCATGCCTTTGCATAATGAAAATATAAAAACAGGCAGGTTATTCGAAAATTACGAATATTTTATTACCCTATATCAACAACATATCAACAAATGTTTCGTGAAAATTAAATTACAATAATATGTCTGCTCGACTTATGTTAAATATTTGAAACCAATAACATGAAAATACTATTTCTTATATGAATGAGTACCAATAAGTAGATATGACATTTATACTTCATTGTGTGCATAACTATTACTCAATGGATTTCCTAGAAGAAAACTCGCAATGAAACAGTAGTTAAGAAATGGATAATTTCCCAGATTTTTCTGCTCATTGACTACTTCATTATGGGGCTCCATTAAATGTTTTTAATTTCTAGTTATTCCAAAAACTGTCAGTTTTTTTTTTATATTAAATTTACTACATTCCACATTTTTTTAATGAGTTTTGTTCCTTTTTCTATATTATAATAGTTAGTTTTAGCAATAGATATTAATTTATTTAGTTGTTGTTTGTAATCGATATATTTCTTTTTTAAAATGTTATCTGTTTAATTTTCTAAACATTTTATTTTTTCTGTTTATCGATTTTATGAGGGACGGTGTAATCCATTTTTCCTTTTTTGGGGTATTTTTAATCTTTATATAATTTGTTCATTCACTAACACTATCTTGAATCATTCCAATTAATATATTGAAACTTGGATAGTATCTATTTTGACATAATAATTTATTTTATGAGCTTTTCGAGGTAACACTATTTGGAGCATTACTGTATGGTGATCAGTTATTGAGGTATCAATTGTTAGAGGCATTAAATAGTCATAATAATCGTCATTTTGGGAGTCTATAAAAATATGAACAAGGCATGTTTTTGAAAGTTTTTGAACTGTTTTTGGGATATTAATAGCTGAGCGATAACCATTTTCATTTAATACATCTGAATAATTTGTTTTGTCATCCCCAACAAAGAGTTCGAAATCATAATTGATATTTTGCATTTCAAAAATATCATTTAATTCTTCTATAAATAAGTCGACATTATTTTTAGAAGCAGGTGATCTATAGAAAGCATTTATAATAAAAGTTTTATTTTCGAATTTGGCTTTTATTTTAACGAGTGAACTACCACTCAAATTAAAAAGGCTATGTGACTCGTACAGTTCGGATATAATAAATACAAATAACACCATCATTACAGCAAATTTAGAAATAAAACAAGAATTTATTTAAAAAAAATGTATTTCTTAAAAAATATACTTATAAATATCACCGGAACTATGTACTATAATAATCAACCTAAGTAACTAATTTTTAGTTGAATCCTTGTTAACAGCAACCGCTTTACTAACTGTCACTGATCCTTCGACATTCTTCGCTATCCCCCCCACTAATCGAGACACTGCGTTTAACGTCGAGATTGGGATCTGAAAAAACAAATTAAAAAAATTATTAATTTTGAAATTTTATGTGATTAAAAAATTGTTTACTATCTACGATTGCTAACTGGTCACTGTGATCTTTATTGTCTATATTATAGAGTGTGTTGCTTAAAAGTTTTTTGTTATTAATTGACATTTAAAAAAAATCGTTTATCTGCATCAATGTGTTTGAATGAGATCTACAAGATAGTATAACTTGATAAGTCGACTTACTAAAAATAATAGAGATACAAGGTGTTCTCAAAGCTAATATGTCATAATAAAGCTTAGTAACATTGGCATTGGTGGTAATCTACTGAAATGGATCGAATGCCTTATAACAAACCCTATTCAAATTGTTCGTGTTTCTGGCTTCTTATCCTCTGGCTTTACCGCTACATCTGGTGTCCCTCAAGGGTCACATTTGGGACCTCTACTTTTTAATATATATAACAATGACATCCAAAATTGTTTTAAGAATTCTCAGTTCCTTTGCTTTGCTGACGATTTAAAATTATTCATGATTGTATTTGCCTTCAAAAAGACTTGGATAAGTTGGTCCAATGGTGTAGTACTAATGGAATGGAATTAAATACAAGTAAATGTCATGCAATCAATTTCAACAGAAAACATAGTCCTATTGAATATATCTATAAAATCAATGACATAACATTGGATACTATTACAGAGGTAAAAGATTTGGGTGTGATGTTAGATTCCACCCTTTCTTTTCAAACTCATATAACGGCCTCAGTTAATAAAGCATTAAGAATGTTGGGTTTCCTTAGAAGAACTACTTCTGATTTTCATAATGTGATGTGTTTAAAGATTCTTTATTGTGCCTTAGTTAGACCTTATCTTCTGTATGGAATCCTTTTTATGTATGTCTAATCTATAATATAGAACAGGTTCAAAGAAAATTTTTACGCATTGTTGCATTTAAATCGGGTATCGTCCCGGTCAACTTCAGATACAATTATGACGAATAACACACACTTTGTAATCTTGAGACCCTTTTGAGCAGAAGGAACCAAAGGGATCTTAAAATATTGTTTAACATTATTAACTCATCTGCCAAATGTCCCTACTTGTTATCGCAAATTGGATTTTCTGTACCCTCTAGAGTAACTAAGAATATTAATATATTCTCCCAACCTTTCCATAGAACAAATTATGGTTCTCACTCTTTTATTCCTAGAGTGACAAGATCTGCTAACAGACTAAATGTAGAATGGATTACTTCTCCATCAGATTTTTTTAACCATATTGTATGTGTGAGGAGTAAATTTTTATTTGTTTTTAATAATTATGTATTTAAATTAATTTATTATTATTTAGGATTTTATTACTATTTAATGTATGTAATATGTGTTCTCTATATAGCCCAATCGGATTAGTATTTTAGATTCTGAAAAATTCGAAGCAGCAATTTTCCTTCGGAATTCGTTGGAGGGGGTCTCTGGTAGTCTAAATTAAAAAAGTTGGGATTCCAAAGTTGTCGTTACCTCCGCCATCTTGATTTGAAGGGTTATTTTTTGTATCTTGAATAACTCATTTATTTTCAATTTTACACGGAAAATAGTTTTTACAAAAGTTATTTAAAATTAAATTTCCTACAATTCTGCTTTTTTTTGTACGATCGATTTTTTTCGATTTATACCCGAAAAGAGGGGGTGAATTTTTGGTTATATAATAACTCGTTTATTTTCAATTTTACGGGAAAAATTGTTATAAACAAGGTTGTTTAAAATTAAATTTCCTACAATTCTGCTTTTTTTTTGTACGATCGATTTTTTTCGATTTATACCCGAAAAGAGGGGGTGAATTTTTGGTTATAGAATAACTCGTTTATTTTCAATTTTACGAGAAAAATTGTTATAAACAAAGTTGTTTAAAATTAAATTTCCTACAATTCTGTTTTTTTTGTACGATCGATTTTTTTGTATTTATCCCTGAGAAGAGTGGGGGTGAACCTAAGTATTGTATTGTCACGTTTATTATTGATGTTGTACCATTATTTTTTTTTTTTGCTGATTTTCAAAAATGTTTACCCCCACTCTTCTCAGGGATAAATACAAAAAATCGAGCGTACAAAAAAAACAGAATTGTAGGAAATTTAATTTTAAACAACTTTGTTTATAACAATTTTTCTCTTAAAATTGGAAATAAAAGAGTTATTCAATAACCAAAAATTCATCCCCTCTTTTCGGGTATAAATCGAAAAAAATCGATCGTACAAAAAAAAGCAAATTGTAGGAAATTTAATTTTAAATAACTTTTGTAAAAATTATTTTCCGTGTAAAATTGAAAATAAATGAGTTATTCAAGATACAAAAAATAACCCTTTAAATCAAGCTGGCGGAGGAAACGACAACTTTGGAATCCCAACTTTTTGAATTTAGACTACCACAGACCCCCTCCAACGAATTCCGAAGGAAAATTGCTGCTTCGAATTTTTCAGAATCTCAAGCCTGTTCTTCACCTAATCCGATTGGGCTAATAATTGTATTGTTTTAATGGGCTCTGACCCGTAAAAAATAAATAAATAAATTTACATTATAGACGAAACAATAATTTTGTATTTATGCTTTCCTGTGAATTGGCCAAAACTTAACATATCAAGTCATTAGTTATGATCACAGAATTAGTTTATTCTAATATATTCAATCATTTTTATTTTTCTGTAAAAAAAATGTATAACGTTTTGTTTTTTATTATAATTGAATTGTTTGAACATTTTTAGATAATATTTGAGTATTGAAAAGTTTTTGTCAACTATCAAAATAGACATCATATTGGATAATGATATTTCTGAACATGATCCTGTTAACTATTTATAAATTCCACTTTTCTCTTTATTTCTAATTGAGATAACACAATTAACTTTTTTTGTTGTAACAACCAGGAAGCCTAAAGTCACATTTGTAACTACTGATAGGTATTTAACTACTGTTGTCAACATTTACTAAGGGGTTAAGGCAGCACTGTCACCAGCCAAAGAGTCTTGAAGTCCAGAAGAAACATCCATTCACCAGAATCAATAAGAAACAAAGTAATCCCTTAATAACATAGCCGAATAGCTTTAGCAACTAGTTATAGTCCTTGGGGGGTAAAAACACCAAGGCTTCACAAATTTTCGGAATATTTTATAACTGATTTTGGAAATGGAAGTACTTTCTTATAGTTTAAAAAAATATCTATCAACATTTTTGCGGTTAATTTTTATTTTTAAACCGCCGATACTTATTAATTTACCACAACAAATTATACTCCAAAAAATAGATAAATAGAAAAATTTTCAAAAGACCACAGTGACCCATTTGTATCGTTTAATTGTTATTTACAATATGTTAAAAGCACATTTAGAAACACAATGTAATAATAAAAATAAATTATAATTTTCACATTATATACCTGTCTGTATAATATAACCCAAAAGTCTTAGTATTGATAACTGTCTTAGAAACTAATTCATTACAATATCAAAATTTTAGCATTAAAATAAATCGCGGGCTTACAAGCAAGAGGCACTAAGTCAAAAATTTGTCAAAATGGGTTTATATTTTTGTATATCATGTAAAAACAGTCCATTGTATTCTGATAGCATGTACATTTTCTTTGAAACAGTTGATAATCCCTAAATAATTTATAATCAAAATAGAACTTCATTGAAACTTTAAATTGCCTATAACTCATGGACCTATTTCTTGACTTAAAGCCTTTTGCTTGTAAACCCACGAAATATTCAAAATAATCTTACAACCAGGTATATGATGGCTGGTAAATCGGTCACTTGTTCAATCTTAAAATAAAAATCTAAATCGAATGATAGGGGTAGTGATCCACTCGATCTTTCACACATTTAAAAAGTGAAATACCTAAAAAATATAAATCAAATCTGGAAAAAATTAAATGTTTTATATGAACCAGGTATGTAAAAATATGTGGCTATAATTTTGTGTGTTTGCGTTCATTAGGATTAAGACAAAAACAAACAGAATTTCAAGCTTTAAATTGCATGGTACCATCCAATCCAATCATGCCTCGCTTGTACGGACTTCCAAAGATCCACAAGACCAGTTGTAAGTATCATCAACACTCCAGTTGCAAAAATCAAGACTTTATTTGCAACTTAATTCATGGTCTCACACAATTCAAACCAGCCAACTCGGTAAGTAATAGTTTAGAATTTTGTAATAAAATCAAAAGTTTCAACATCCCTGACAACTGCACCATGATGTTAGCAACCTGTACACCTCGGTCCCAAGGTTTGAGACCATGCCTTTCAGTTCAAACGTTTCTGTCAATAACACGACCATCATTTTTTCAATTTTTAAACAAAATTTCTTCACTTTTAACATCACCTATGAACAACCGGATGGCCTTGCTATGGGATGTGGCCTATCTCCTATAATCGCTGATATTTTCATGAACCATCTAGAAACCAGCTACATTATTCCACAACATAAAAATATTTTAATTTACTACAGATATGTAGATAACATTTTTTGCCCAATAAATGGTAATGACAACACGGCTTCTAATATTTTAAATTCAATCAACACTATCCATCCCAATATAAAATTCAGTCTGGAAGCCGAAAAAGAATGTTGTTTGAACTTTTTTGACCTTTCTGTCTACAGACAGGATAACAAATTTGAATTTAGCATGTATAGAAAACCCATCCGAACAGACCACGTGATACACTATTCTTCAAATCACCCTCACCAACATAAAATGTCTGCTTTCTATTGCTATATTCATAGACTCCTGTTAATCCCTCTAAATAAAACTATCTTTAAGAATTAAATATACTTAAACAAATTGCATTTAACAACGAGTATGACCCGGACATAATTCAATCTCTAATCACCAAAATTAAATTCAAAAAAATTCAAAAATTAGCCTACTTTAATTTGAGTCATATTAATAATGTTTACATATCAATCCCCTTCTGGAAAAATAACTTAGCTAAAAGCATCTCAAAATTTTTTGCTAACAACGTAGATAACATTACATTATCTTTCAAATCAATTAAGAAATTAGACTCTCATCTAGTCAACACCAAAGACAAAACGAATTTGTTAGACAAGAGCGGAGTGTGCAGGTTGCAATGCAGCGATTGCGATGCCAGTTATATTGACAGAACTTGCAGATCTTTGGGAGTCCGGATAAGCGAGCACATCAAGAAGCCGGACACATCTGCATTTGAACATTACTTGAGGTTCAATCAACATAATTTTAGCCCAACAAAAAACTTCAAATTATTAGTCAACTTGAACACAAAAAATTTCAACTTATTAAATTTCCATGAAAATGTTGAAATTACCCTTGAAAAAGACAACAATATCCTCTGTCTCAACACTCAATTGAACCTCAACAGAAATATCATACCACTCCATAAACAACTCAGTTAACCCTCTATGACGATGTAAGTCCTAGTCGCTCAATATAAGCCTTTGAGACCATCCTCTCCTAAACTTGATTTTACCCATCAGAGCCTACCTCTGGAACCATGGTACTTTTATGATTAAAATTTTTTTGTTCTCTATTTTGTCTCACTCCAACCATGAGTACACTACGTGCACACAGCTGTCAACCTTTTTTTGGTTATTTTAAAAAACACAGTTTTTTAGCTATGTGTTTTCACTTTTGGTGTTCTGGATGGTCTTAATAATAGGGCGATTTTTGAGATTTGTTTCCAAATTTTTAAATTATTTATCAGATATACCGATTTTTCGGAATCCGATTTGCTATTTCTCGATATTTATTTACGATTTTTATTGCAAGATTAAGTACTTTGAATGGGTTGTAAAATGATTTTATTCTACAAACATTACACAAGTCTGGAAATTTAAATGCGGACCATACAAGCCAAATCTATTGTAGATGAGCAGAGTTTGGAGTCAGATGGAAGTCGCACGTACGTACGGCAGGCTTAATATTTGTTTGTTTCGCGTATAGTACTATTATACCTTCTCAAATTCATTGTAAATTTATACATTTCCGTACCTGATGTTAATTTACTAGTTTCTAAAATAGATCAACCTAAGACTTTTGTTAATTTTTACATAGATACCCTTACATTAAAAACGTCATTTATAAACTGAGGATTAACACTTTTTCTAACGCTAACAGTTTTAGTAGCGGCAACTCCTCCTCCACCATTAACGACGGGAACGTCTCCGAAGTCGGGACCGGGAATGGGCGCTATTGGGGGTCCAGGCAAAGAGTCTAATCCACCGTAGTAACCTCCTCGTGATACGAAGCTATATTAAAAATGGAAATAAAGATAATGATAAAGAAACAAATATAAGGAATTTAAATATTGTGTCAACTATTAGTAGAATAATATTATTTACGGATTTTTGAAACGCATTATTATTGAGAACCAGAGTTAGATTAGATTCATCTTTTTTTATTATACTACATGCACTTACATGCTTCTGGTTTTTCTTTATCTAAAGTTAGAAATATCAATGTATCCAGGCCTTCACGCTGGCACAGGACGTATATTGACGATTGCTTCTTCTGATGGATTGATTGCGCCTTCTTAAGCAACAATGGTCCGGTATCAGGACCTTCTGTTATCCTAACGATTTGTAGTTTTTAATCTTAGATTAAAGAGACCGAAGATGTAACATTGCACACTGCGCATGTTGTCTATTTTAAGCCAAAGTAACCTACCAATTGAAAATCATTGTTGCACGACGCCACCCGAATTGCTCCGATTTCCATTCAGCGATCACACCTCCACCTGAGTTTAATCACCATTGACAGCTGTTTTTTGATTTATTTGTTGGTATTTTAGCAATTTAAAGTGTTCTAGTTATTCAATTTCAAGTTCAAAATGTCACGATGTATCTTGAAAAATTGTATGTACTTATAATACAAGTACTACTGTTATGAATATATTCGTTTTCAGCGGTAAATATTTATTTACGTTTTGACATAAAGCGCCATGATTCTTTGGGCTGAATACTTCAGATCCGCATTAAGGGGTTTCAATAAATATTAAGCATCACAAACTCAGATTTCATATTACTTACATAAATTTACAAAAGGGTAAAATTTTGAACATTTAATTTAAATAAATAGTAAATAGGCATTATTGCTAACGAAATTTTGTATTTAAAAAGTAGTTTTATAAGAATGTTTTCTAAAGGTAGTTTTTAGCCCTTTTTGGTAGATAAATAAGAGGTAAAGAATCATAGTTGCTAGCTAAATTTTATTTTTATAAGGTATTTTTATAAGAATATTAGATGAAATACAGGATGACCTACTTAAAATTTCAAGGTTCATCTTATTTGCGGTCAAATCGAAAGTGACATTGAATTTTCAGTCTTAAAACAAAGTAATCTAGTATAAGCAAAAAAAAAATACTAAAGTTACAGGAGTTAGGTCCGATTCCACCGTTGTGTTAAACGGAGATTAAAATGACAGTGTTAATGTAAAAATGTCATTTTAAACTTCGTTTAACACAACGGTGGAATCGACCCTTAGTCACGTTAATAAAATGTTACATTACAAACTCCTAAACAACTCGAACATAATTTTCGTTTACTAAAAAAAATCCAAAATTTAGCAATATTTATTTATTATACAAGCGATTGCGATTTCAAAGATAACTGGATCAAAAAATCCGAATCTCTAAATTTTGGAGCTAAATGCTCAGATAAAAGCAAGCGACTGATAGGGGTTACAAAAATAATCGATTTATCGATAATTCTGATATTTTTTAATGAAAATCGATTTATCCGCTGTTTTTAATAAATTATTTTCGTTTTTTTTTTAAGATAATGTATTAATCGATTTTAAAGGAAATACAAAAAATGTAGATTTATTCAAAATAATCGATTTATCGTTTAATCGGTTTTTTAATTATTTGATTATTTTCGATTTTTCAAAGATATTATATGAAAATAATCGATTGAATATAATCGGTTATTTTACATAATCGATATTTTGGTTATTTTTTTAAAATTATCGATTTATTGGATAATCAGCTTTTTAATAATCAATTATTTTCGATAATCGAATAATCAATTTCAAAGGAAATATGAAAAAAGGATTATTAGAAAATAATAGATAATTCGTTTTATTTTTTGGAAAATCGATTTATCATAGAATCGGCTTCTTAATTAATTGGTTATTTTCGATTAGGCGATTATTTTGGAATTATTGATTATTTTTGATATTTCAAAGATAACCGAATTATCGATTTTATAGGAAATACATTAAAAATAGATTATTGATAATAATCGATTGATCGAAAATAATCGATTGATCGAAAATAATCGATTATTTAAAATAATCGATCATTCTGTTTTTTTTTTGAAAATCGATTTGTCAGTTAATCGACTTTTTAATTAATCGAATATTTTTGAAATACAATAAAAAAGATTATTGGTAATAATCGATATATCATAGAATCGGCTTCTTAATTAATGATTATTTTCGATTAGGCGATTATTTTGGAATTATCGATTATTTTCGGTATTTCAAAGATAATCGAATTAACGATTTTAAAGGAAATACAATAAAAATAGATTATTGATAATAATCGATTGATCGAAAATAATTAATTATTTAAAATAATCGATCATTCTGTTTTTTTTTTTAATCGATTTATCAGTTAATCGACTTTTTAATTAATTGATTATTTTTGATTAATCGATTATTTTCGATTTTTCAAAGATTATCGAATAATCTGTTTCCATGGACCAAAAAAAATGGTTTATTTGAAAATAATCAATTATTTAAAATAAACGATAATTCTATTTATATTATATTTTGTAAACACTGATTTATCGGTTAATTGGCTTTTTAATTAATCGATTATTTTTGATTTTTCAAAGATAATCAAGTAGTCGATTTTAAAGGAAATGACAAAAAATATATCGTTTGAAAATAATCTATTGATCGAAAATAATCGATTATTTTCAATGATCGATAATTTATTTTGATAATCACTCATCCCTAGCGACCAAATGACTTTTAATACATTTAAATTTTAAAATGTTATCTGGTTTCAGACATATGCATTTCTAGAGTTTTATGTGACTCATCCTTTATAATAATTAATATTCTTAAAGAAAGAAGCCTTAATATACTTTTTTCTGAGGTTACAATACAAAACAGCATTTTCTCATTTTGACTAATTTTTAATAATATGTAATAGCCGTAGAAAAAATATAATGTTCAACTCATAAGAGTAGATTTGCAGTATTGCAGTATTTGCACATGCTATTTTTATAATACTCGTAGACAATGAGTAACATTTTTTGCTCTATTAACAATATATTCTATTTCAACATTTTACTGTATTCTCTTGCAGAAAAGTCCGTAGTAAATAAACGCTAACGAAATATTCTATAAAAGGTCTTCTCTTTACATAAAATGTCGTGGCATCTGTTTGATATTAAAAAATCACGTTAATTTTATTTCATAATACAAAATTCGATTAAACACCTTTTAAATAAACCTAATAGTTCATTAAGATGCTAATAAACAAAGTCCGGTCCCTGTCACAGAGTTCGGGTCGCCGCGTGTCGCCGCCCAGTTCCCCCACTCCGTTAACCCTTCTTTAGAAATTTGCGCAGGTTTAAAACCGGTATATGTTATATCTCTGGTCTCTTTTATCTAAGTTTTTAATCCACTAGGTCTTTTGTGAACTTTGTTGATAGTTCTTTAGTTTCTTTGCGATTCATTTTGCATTTATTATCCAATGGATGCCTTACTAACCTTCACAGAAGGGCCTTCTTTGAATATTTCGTCGACCTTCTCACTGCGATAATATTATTCGCAACCTAGTACCCAAGCTAAGATCACTCTGTTTTGATACCTTAGCTCTGTCAAGTCTTCTCGATAGTTTTTTGCTAGTTCTGAATTGATTTTGTCCATTGTCAAAGAATTAAATACTAAAAGGTGTACAAATTTTGAACCTGTTGGTTTACCCCTTATTCAGTAGCATCTCAATTAATCTACTATTTTAATTACTTTTAAATTGTTTGAAACGCCAGCTCGGTTACTTACATTTGTTTCCTTTTAAGATGAGGTCGTCTACGTGTTTTGAATTTGGTTTTTTCAATATATATTGGTTCCGGTGGAATCACTGGAATAATTTCACCTCGTCTGAAAACGTTTAACAAATTCGATGGTATTTGAGATATGATGTTTACCCTTACTAGAAATAGATATAAAGAAATAATAACCGCAAAAGAATATAAGAAAATAAGAGACTGTAGAATTGATAGAAGAAAAAGTTTAAAGCGTTTTATTGTATTAGTAAAATCTTTTGCACCATAAGGAAATAAATGTACAAGGTGGAGAGTCTCCTCTTTATTAAAAATATTTTCCATTTTGAAAATATCTTTAAGAATGTAAGGTAGTTCAAAAAGGTTAATATATCAAAGTTCAACTGTTTTAGAGAGGATAGTACGGTTTTTATTACATAATTACAGATGATCTAACAAGCTGGAAAGCTTGGAATGGAAATAAACCAGATCAAAACAAAATCTTCTTAAATTTTAACTATCTAGAAACGACCAATAGGGCAACCAAGAAATCAACGGGCAGAAATAACTAAAAACACGAAGACAAAAAATCGAAATAGTTACTTGCTTTCAATTATCTATAAACTTAAAAAAAAAAACTAAGAAAATAAAGGTTTCTTACAGAAAACAAAGCCTAGTTATAAATAGAAATCTTTTGAAAAGTAAAGTTGTAACCAAAAAACTCATAGAGACACAAATAAGATTATTGCAATCGAAGATACAAGAACAATAAAGGAAAAAATAAGAAAAAGATCTAAAAATAGTAAAGAAACATAATTTAAGAGTAAGACTAAGCCCAATAGTTCTAAAAACGAATGATGAAATTGAGGACGAAGGTGAAAATAATGTAAGATACATGAAAGAACATACATAGAAGAAACAAGGAAAGTAGGAATATGAAATATGGCAAAAATATGAAGAAGAAGAAAAATTAATATATTTCTGTAGATATATAGTAGCAGCATTGACCTCATATCAGTTTCTTAAGATTTTAATATACAATGAAAGATGTCATCCATTTCCAAATCTAATAAAATATTATAGAATACCAAAAAAAAAGAATCATAGTAATCGTACAGAATCATAAGCCCTCTTGTGATTACAAATGTTTAATCAAAAATTTAGTTGAACCATAAAAGCTCAATGTTATTTAATGACTCTATATAATTAAAATTATACCTATCTATACATTACTATAAGTTTTTTTCTATATTCTATTTGATTATAATAAATAAATTCGTAGTAATATTATTTACTAGATTAGTTATAAATATCCCAGACACCAAAAGCATTTAACCCTGTAAAACTATCAATACGAACCTGACGTCTATATCTAGAGCAGTAAGAGGACCATCTACTTTTCTATTGTCAATTACTTCGGCATTTTTTAGTTTGTCTTTTGAAGATACAATTTGAATGTTCCCCAGTTCTCCTAAAAATAAAAATATAGATTTAGGTGTAGAAGATAGGGGTGATTTATATTTATTAGGACATAGGCTAAGGGAAAGTTATCTGGACCAAAATATGGCGATAAAACCTCAATAAAATATTAGTATAAAATAAGATATAGGGTGTTAAAGTTAAATAATCTCACAGCAAAAATAATTCACAGAAATAACATTTACCAGACACAGTTATCTGACAGAACAATTTTTTTTTTTTTTTTGTAAAATGTAAGATATAACTTTTTGGACCATACTGTGTAATGGATTGCGACGTGCTCTTCGAGCACGTCGTTAGCAGTAATATCAGAAAACACTTAATTGTTAAAAACGTGCTCGAATAATATGTTGCAATCCTTTACAGTGTCTTCCAGAAAGTTTTGTTTTGTTTTTTTTTTTTAAATGTTTGAAATATACTATATAATGGATTACGACGTACTCTTCGAGCACGTCGTTAGCAGCAATATCAGAATACACTTTATTGTTAAAAACGTGCTCGAAGAGCACGTTGCAATCCATTATACAGTGTCTTTCAAAAAGTTTTATATACATAAGAAAATATTTTGTTTTTAAAAAAGTTTTGGAACACACTGTGTAATGGATTGTGACGTGTTCTTCAAGCACATCGTTAGCAGCAATATCAGAAAACACTTTATTGTTAACAACATTGCAATCCATTACAGTGTTTTCCAAAAAAATTTATATACATAAAAAAGATTGTTCTTTAAAAAAGTTTTGTAACACACTGTGTAATGGATTGCGACGTGCTCTTCGAGCACGTCGTTAATAACAATATCCAAATAGCCTTTGTTGATAACGACGTGCTTAAAGAGCACATTGCAATCCATTACAAAGTGTTTTTCAAAAAGTTTTATATACATGAAAAAAGTTTTGTTTTTTTTTAAGCTTTGGAACACACTGTGTGATGCACGTCATTAGCAGCAATATCAGAATACACTTTATTGTTAACAATGTGCTCAAGGAGCACGTTGCAATCCATTAGAGAGTCTTCCAAAAAATTTTATATACATAAAAAAATATTGTTTTTTAAAAAAGTTTTGGAACACACTGTGTAATGGCTTGTGACGTGCTTTTCGAGCACGTCGTTAATAACAATATCCAAATAGCTTTTGTTAATAACGAAGTGCTTAAAGAGCACATTGCAATCCATCACAAAGTGTGTTTCAAAAAGTTTTATACACATGAAAAAAGTTTAGTTTTTTTTTTTTAATGCTTTGGAACACACTGTGTGATGCACGTCGTAGCAATATTAGAATACACTTTATTGTTAACAACGCGCTCAAAGAGCACGTTCCAATCCATTAGAGTGTCTTCCAAAAAATTTTATATACATAAAAAAAGATTCTTTTTTAAAAAAGTTTTGGAACACATTCTGTAATGGATTGCGACGTGCTCTTCGAGCACGTCGTTAATAACAATATTCAAATAGCCTTTGTTAATAACGACGTGCTTGAAGAGCACATTGCAATCTATTACAAAGTGTGTTTCAAAAAGTTTTATACACATGAAAATAGTTTGGTTTTTTTTTTAAAGCTTTCGAACACACTGTGTGATGCACATCATTAGCAGTTATATCAGAATACACTTTACTGTTAACAACGTGCTCGAAGAGCACGTTGCAGTTTATTATAGTGTCTTCCAAAATATTTTATATAGATAAAAAAGATTGTTTTTTAAAAAAGTTTTGGAACACACTGTGTGATGGATTACGACGTGCTCTTCGAGCACGTCGTTAATAACAATATCCAAATAGCCTTTGTTAATAACAACGTGCTTAAAGAGCACATTGCAATCTATTACAAAGTGTGTTTCAAAAAGTTTTATACAAATGAAAAAGGTTTGTTTTCTTTAAAGCATTGGAACACACTGTGTGATGCACATCGTTAGCAGCAATATCAGAATACATGTTATTGTTAACAACGTGCTCAAAGAGCACGTTGTTATTGTTAACAACGTGCTCAAAGAGCACGTTGCAGTCCATTACAGTGTCTTTTAAAAAAATTTATATACATAAAAAAGATTCTTTTTTAAAAAAGTAATGGAACACACTGTGTGATGGATTGCGACGTGCTCTTCGAGCACGTCGTTAATAACAATATTCAAATAGCCTTTGTTAATAACGACGTGCTCGAAGAGCACATTTCAATCTATTACAAAGTGTGTTTCAAAAAGTTTTATACACATGAAAAATGTTTAGTTCTTTTTTTTTAAGTTTTGAAACATACTGTGTGATGGATTGCGACGTGCTCGTTAGCAGCAATATCAAAAAATATTTTATTGTTAACAACGTGCTCAAAAAGCACGTTACAATCCTTTACAGTGTCTTTTAAAAAGTTTTATATACATTAGAAAAGATTTTTTTTTTAATTTGGAACGTACTATTTAGCAGCAATATCAGAAAACATTTTATTGTTGACAAATCTAAAAATTATCGAATTTCGAAAATCTCTACAGTCTCTAAATAATTTATATCCTGGTATTTGCCGCACATAAAAATTACACTCGCATACACATTTCCAAATATATATTCCTACATATTTGCAATTTATTGTTTACCTATATTATCCTTCCGATCATCAACAACTCCACCTGCAGGAACACCAATATTATTAAACTTCAGCTTAGTTAATCCACCTGCCGATGCTCCAGCGTACGAAGATCCAAAAGATCCATCAGCTCCAGCCCTTCCACCTAATCCTGCTTTAGCACCAATGCCGTTTCCTGCTGTAGCGCCAGCAAACAGACCTCCCATAGATTTTCCTGCAAAAATTCTATTTTAATACGTTTCTAAATACAACTTTTGAAAATGGGAAGATGTCAACTACAATTCTATTAATGCTATCGATAAAATTGAGGAAATAAAACTTGTAAAAGGAAGCAAATTTCATAAAGATTGTAATAATAAGTCACTCTATGATTTTGACTGTGAGGGATTAACAGGATAAAATCTCTCGTTACATTATTTAAAAAAGAAGAATATCGAAGAATGAAAAATTTAAGACAAATAATAATGTTTTACTGTAGTCAAAGATAGCTATTTTCTTTGGGACTATCATAAAGTATTTTTTTTTTATTTGATGTAATCATCATAGCGATATAAGACTAATGTATGATTATTGTAAGACTAATGTAATACTACTGTAAGACAAGATAAATAGTAAGACTAATGTAAGACTAATACATTTTAATGCAAACAAATATAAGTCAGTTTAAGAACCAATAAAAATAATTTGTTATTACCTTGTTCATCTACTTGACCACCTAACCCTGCATGAGCGAACTGTCCAAATGGTGTTCCAGCTTCAGCATACAGCCCACCATCGGCTTGATTTCCTGTCAGAATACTTCCCAAACCTGCTGCAGCTTTAAATCCAAAAAAGTTCACGCCGACCCTGCCTTTGTCGAAGTAAATCAATGGTTCCGGCGCCTGTTTTTGAGTCTGAAAAACAAAAAACATTATTAATAAAAGAGGGAACAATACAACAGAACGAAAATAGTATTTGAACATAAAATAAAAACCGAAAGTAAGTCATGACATCGCAGAATAATTAAATCATTTTTAAGAAATTTATTGTTCGAAACTTTCATACAAAAAAAAATCAAATCAATATCTCAAATAATGACAGTCAACAGTCACTGTTTGGTGTTCAGATTAATTATTTAACCTTTATTTTAACTATTAATAAAATCTTCTATATCTTCTGGAAAGACGTTATAATTTTTTTATTGCATTGACATTAACAGTTCATTTTTAATAATATATCAATAACATAAAACAAATAACTATTATTGTATCAGTTTCCTAACTACAAATCTTAATAGTTAGGTGCTAGATATAGCACAGTAAGCGCCACATCTAAAGAACCAGCGCAAATGCTCAAATTCGTTTACTTAAAAATCCATTAACAATTTGAACCTTGTCCTTGCTTACAGTCAGTAGCGTAACGACTAGATTATTGTTTGTTTCTTGTTTCTGTGTTTTGGTTAAAGTGACTAGTTTTATTTTTGATAATGTCTTCTATTGTGGGTAAAAAAAAGCGCAGATCTGTTATTAACGAACAAAGTCGTGAAGTAATATACAATGTTTTTAAATATTTTGAAATATTTTTAAATATTTCATTGTGTGAAATACAACAAAAAATGAACTCATTACAAACCTAAATTAAAACAAAAATATGTTACGCCGAATATTCTCACTTCGCAGACCACATCACTAAAATAAGTATGATAAATTGTTTAAATATAAAACACTGTGATTTGTTAATTAGCGTAGTTTCTAGTCATACTATTATTACTATCGGACACTACAGAATTAGCTGGTTGGATTGAAAATTAGAGACTGAATAAGAAAGAGGAGAATAAAAAAAAATTACGATTCATTCAATTATCTTCTGTTTACTTTTTTTTTTGAATGCTATACTTTAAAAACCTTGTATGTATTTACATTAAAATAAAATAATATTTAATATTTTTAGTCCCAATTGTCGGTTGATAGAAAAAAATGTTTTCGTCAGTGATTTGCATTTAGAATATAAGATATAATACTTTTTTTAGGTTAACGACTGACAGATGACAATTCTGACATTTGAAGCACGTAGGTTCAACTCAATATTAAGGTACGTTCCTAACATTTAACAATTCTGACATTGGACACACGTGCGTTCAACCCAATATTAAGGTACGTTCCTAAAATTTTACAATTCTGACATTTGACACACGTGCGTTTAACTCAGTATTAAGGTACGTTCCTAACACTTACGAATTCTCTTGAAAATTGTACAATTAATATTCCAAATATATCAAATACAAATTTTCAAACACCTTACAATTTTTTGTTTACTGCTGATAGTTAATCAAATAATAATCCTCTACCAACAGAGACTTTCTTAAGGAGCATGGAGTTTTTTAAAAAATGAATTTCTCAAAACTAAACATAGATTGATTAGTTTTGCTGTATCTAAATACGACTTTCTATAAGCTGAAAATTTCTTCGAATTTTCCATTGTAAACAACAAAAACATTGATTGTTTATTATTTGTATTTATAGAACACCTAAATCAAATGTTCACCTCTTTCTAGAGAATCTTCTTAATCTACTTGACGCATTGCCTATAAAAAGTAAGAAAATTTTATGCGGCGATTTCAATATTGACTTTGCTAATGTATGTGCTACTCAAAAGTCTTTGATCAATATTTTTGAATCATTCAGTCTCACTATGCACGTAAATTCTCCAACTAGAATCACAGAAACAACATCTACAATTATAGATTACGTAGTCTCTGATTTTAAACCCGTTGATGTAGAGCACCAAGTAATTAGCTCAGGTCTCTCAGACCACGAAGCAGTATTTGCCAAATTTTTGATACCCCGTACAGCTCCAAAAAAAGTCCGTCAGCTAGGTAGAATTTTCTCTAAGCATAATTTCAAAAATTTCTATAATTTATGTCTAACTACTGATTGGAATGGTCTTTCTGAAGATATTGACTCTAAATTTTTAGACTTCTTAAATAAAATAATTACGTGTTTCAATACAGCTTTCCCCCTTCGCCCCATTAAAACTAAATGTCATAAATCTTGGACAACTAAAGGAATAAGAACATCATCTAAAAATATGAGGTCACTCATGTATATTAAAAAGTACACAGATAATCCCCTAATATTAAACTATATCAACAACTACAGAATATTGTATCGGAAAATCACCAAATCTGCTAAGAAAAACTATTACAAAAATCGCATCGCAAGAGCTAAAAACTCCTCCAAAGAAACCTGGTCTATAATAAATGACTTAAGGAATAAAACCCGTCCTTCAAACAGTGTAAATCCTAGCCCAGATGAACTAAACAATTATTTCGTAAATGTAAGTAAAAATATCAAATCTAACATAGCTCCGAGTCAGGATGCTCTCTCCTTCCTCCTACCTACTAAAAGGATCACTGAAAGTTTCTTCCTAAGACCAGTAGACAAGCATCAACTAGTGCAAACCATAAACAACATCCAAAATAAATTTTCCTGTGGAATTGATGGCCTGTCCGCCAAAATATTTCTAAATATACCGGATGTAGTAATCAACATTTTAACTTCACTGATTAATGAATCCTTTGAAATTGGTCTCTTTCCTAACTGTCTAAAAACAGCTATAATAATCCCACTTCATAAAGGTGGCGACAAAACCAAAACCTGTAACTATAGACCTATCGCGTTATTGCCTACCTTATCGAAGATAGTAGAACGGCTAATGAAAAACCGTCTTTTGCCCTTTCTTTTCAAGCATAACATCCTCACAGCTCATCAGTATGGCTTTCTACCTAAAAAATGCACTAGCGACGCAATGTTTTCCGTTCTTAATGAAATATACACATCACTTAATGATAAACTTTTCACCGCTTCAGTATTTTGTGACTTCGCAAAGGCCTTCGATTGTGTAAATCATGATATTTTAATTAATAAGTTACAAATTTATGGCATACGGGGTTCTCCTTTACAATGGTTTAAAACTTACCTAGAAAATAGAAATCAACAGGTGCGGGCGAATGGTGAGGATTCTACAAATCTAGCAATAAGCAGTGGAGTACCTCAAGGATCAGTATTAGGTCCAATTTTGTTTTTATTATTCATCAACGACATCACAGACTTAAGAATAAGTGGTAGAATTACTTTATTTGCTGATGACACCAGTGTAACCTGGAATAATTCTAACATGCAGACATTACAATCTATCATAAGTGAAGATCTAGTGACTATTAAGTCCTGGTCTGATTCGAATGGACTTTGTTTCAACACCAGTAAAACTGTAGCATTGTCTTGCAGAGGTACTTTACAACCTATAACTTTAAACAATAATCTGATCCAAACGGTGACTTCAATCAAGTTTTTAGGTCTTTATATAGACGATTCTCTAAAATGGTCTGCTCATATAGATACCTTAGCAAAAAAATTATCCTCCGCATGTTTTGCCATTAAATCAGTTTCTAAAGAGCTGACTCCTTCTACTGCATTAATAACCTACTTTTCCTTATTCGAATCTCACCTTCGCTATGGTTTACCTTTCTGGGGTTCTTGTAGCTTATACCTTTTCGAATCTATTTTTAAACTGCAAAAAAGAGCAATCCGCTATGTATTTGGTTTAAGTAGTAGGACACATTGCGAAAATTACTTCAAAAATTTCAAAATTCTAACCCTTCCTGCTCTATTTATTTTCGAATCCGTCTGCTTAGTTCGCAAGCACATTCAAAATTTATCCGAAAGACCGACTCGTAGATATCCTACAAGAAATTTAGAGACTGATGTTTATTTAACAATGCCCACTTCTGACCTATTAAAACATTCCATTACCTACAATGCCAAAAAATTGTATAATAACCTTCCGATGCAATTGAAATCTATAAATACATACGATAAGTTCCGAAGACTGGCTAAAGCTTTTCTTCTAGAAAGACCATATTACACAGTAGCAGAATTTTATAACGTACCTTAGACATTTGAGTTCCACATACAATGGCATTAATTAAATAATTAAATATTAAAGTTTAAATTTAAATTTAAATTTAAAAATTAAATTAGAATAATTATAATGACGGATATTGCATATCCATTGCAATTGTTATTCCTATTTTGTCTGTTTGTTTCTGTTTGTTTTTTCTGCTGTTTAGTTATTTTTATAATATGTTTAGTATTTAAGTTACACGCTTTGTCTATAAAATTTTTGTAAATTTTTTTACGACAATAAAGCATATCTCTCTTGTGTTAATTTTTATTGAATACTAACAAAATGTTCTATTAGTATAATTTTTATGAGGTATTATAGACATTACTGCTAAATAAAACGCACTGTATATATTATTAATATTTAAAATGTAATCAGTGGAACGTTATTTAAAATACAATAGGTAATTAATAGTTTATTGATATTAAAGAAATGAACATATTTAGAATAATTAATGACCATTAAGTAATAACATATAAAAATTATAAAACTAACTGTTTAATTTTTTTAATTATTTATCGCTCTTTCAGCATATAAACGAAACTATTACAGAAATAAATGATTAAAGGTATAATCTGAATAGTACAAATTAAAAAAAAAGTAATATCTTTTTTCTAACTGTTGAAGAGAAGTGTTTCTAATTTTTTTTCTTTGGTAAGAAGCCTATACATTTTTTGTTTATTTTGTAAAAAAACTACTAAATAAATATTCTTATCAAGTAGGTACTTTGTTAGTTAATATATAAAAACTGCTTTTTAATTTATTTACTAAAATAATAAACCTGTTGAAGCAAATAATAATCTAAAATATGAATACTTTTACATTATTAAATTAAAATACCATATTTATTACTGATGATGTATTAATAATATAACAATATTGAAACGTTTATGGGATGTACTGAAATTCCTCGACCAACTTCTTCATCGTGATTCCAAGGTGTTCTTTCTTC